TTATAAGGAGAAGGTGAAATCTCTCTATTCAGAGCTTTTGTTTTTGATCTGTTACTATAGTTTAAGCTGATTCCTAGATACGGGCATTAAAGAGGAAGGGAGGAGGAGAGGTAAGTGAAAATTATTAGAGTCAGGGCCTTTGGAGTGAAGCAGGTGGCTCACATTTACTAAACTTCGAGAATTGTCTGAAATACCACACAAGATGTTCTGTGACAGCCTTAAGTCACTGGCTTGGTGTGTACCAAATGGGTCAGGGTCAGGAGGGTGGCACATCTCAGTCTGCTGTTTCTTCTAGTCCTGGAGACAGCAGAACTCTTGGGAGAGTTCTTCATTCCTTCTCCATAGAGAGGTTCTGAGTATATGTATTCTGGGACTTGTCTCTTAATACCTTCAGCACTAAAGCTGCTCCAAGTCGCTTAAAGGATATTTATTTAAATAAATGAAAGCACAAACTGACAAAGCCCAGAAAAGAGTCTGTATATGTGTGCATCAGAATTGTTTGAGTGCCCCTCCCCTCTATGGGATTTTAAGAGGCGCATTCCTGGAACGTGGGCAGGGAAAGAGCAGGGGTGAATGGGGCCCATCCTTGTCCTATGAATCCTTCTCCAGATTGTGTTCTGTGGGCTTAGAGGTACATTGGACCCCACCTCAGCTCTTAGGAGTAAGCCCCAGTGCCTCAACTCTTTATTCCAGAATTGTATGCCTTGTTTGCTTTAATCAAGGCTGCCAGATCAGTGTCTCACATTCTGTCAAAAAATATTTTCTTGGTCAGGCACTGGTGACAAAGCGATGATCAGTAAAATAGTAACCTAGCCAGCAGTGAGCCCTTATCTGGCATGGAAAGACCAAGTAAGTGTTGTCTGGGCCAAGGAGAGCAGGTGGGCAGAAATGGTTGAGACCTGGAGAACAGCATGTGCAGAGTCCTAGAAGAAAGAAAATAGAGGTCGTATGGGGACCTGCCAGAAGATCTGGATGGCTGGTTCATAGTGGAGAGTCAGGGCTGGAGGAGCAAATGGGCCAAATCACAAAGGCTCCTGATCAGAAGACACTGAGGGATTTTAAACTTCATGCCAAAAGCAGTAAGAGCCATGAAAGGATTTTGAGTGGGAGAGAAATGTGATTGGGGATTCTTTTCATTCTTACTGGGAGCTTTTCATCTGTTTCACAAATACTGAGTGGCTTCTAGATGCCAGGTACAGGGCCAAGCCAGACCAGGCCCTGCCTTGAAGCTTACATTTTAACTTTTGATGGCCTTCCATTGAAGTGGTTATATTAGAGTTCGGTACAACCTTTAAAAGGAAGAAGAGAAAGGAAAGTTTCCTCATGCAGCAGGCAAGCAGTGCCTTGCTATTGAACGAAGTGCCAGTTCCTTTACTGCAGCGCAGGAAGAACACCTGGAGTAAATGGGTTTGCCCAGCTGGAATTTTAATCCCAATCTAACTTCCCACAAACTGTTTCTTGCTTGTGGTGGATAACATTCATACTGAATTTTGTGGGTTTTTTTCCCCCCACTACTACAAGCCTAACACAGAAGGAAGATTAGTCTGCTGGAACAGAGTGCATGATCTAGGATGTATTTACTATCTCAGTTAATCTGTCTCCTTCCCATTTGTAAACCCTTGGTTCACTAAGGGTGGATTGTAATTCTTTAATCATCCAGCTCTCTTTATGATGTAGTGTTTTTATGAACGGAGAGCGCTAATTTTCCTGATTGGCTAGAGTACAGGAGCAGGTCTCTGTTCTAAGCCAATCAGTGCAGCTTGTGAACGCCAGCTCTGTGAGTGATGATTGTGTAGTATATCCGCATGCTCTGGGGACATGACAGCAGTGACACTGTTAATCATTTGGTGTGACAGGAGTAAACGGAAGAGAATGCTGAAAACAGGATTAGTGTCCTACGCTTCAGAATTAAGTGTCTCAGGTTTGCCTTTGTGACTGGAGTTGATGGGAAGGTGACAAATGCATGTGAATACATGAGCATTTATCCAGCTGTAGGGAAAGGATGGGGCAGTACTCTTTTTTTTTTTTTTTAAATTTTATTTTATTTAGATTTGGGTGAAG